ATCATATTGTCTCTCGGAATAAAACCAATATTGAATCCCTCTCAGTAAATAACCTTTATATAATAGCATTGTATAACTGCAATATCATTAAACCAACACTCATCCTATACAACTCTTGAGAACGATGTACAACTCCTGGATAGCGTAAACTCCTGAGCAGCGTATACAACTCTTCAACTTGATATATGACATCATACTTTGGGTGGGATAACAAAGGATATACAATATACAATTGTAGACCTCTCTTGAGGTCAACTGGCAAAATTGTATACCGATACTGTAATCCTTGAAAGTTCGGAGGTCGAGGTCAACAGTACTCAGTATTTCAGTTGAGGTACTAACAATACATTTTGTTGACCGCTCATCAACCAATCTGAATTGAGTATTTCAATTGAGGTACTAACAACACAAAATGACTGATATCTGTTGTCTTTCCAAAATTATATATTTAGTTATTTGTAAGCAATTTCCATACGGTAAATCAAGAGCATTTAATTTAGAAAATGTATAACCTTTATTTTTCAGATACAATATCAATGAGATTGCCTCCCGGGGATTCTGTACTTTATTTAGTTTGCCTTGTATATCCTTTTAACTTTGATATAGACAAAGAAACCAAACAAAATACGTTTCGTTCATGGACCACTGACTCGCGCGTTTTATTCATGTCCCGACCTACACCTGTAAACAGAACATAAAACAGTTTCTCTTGTTGTTCAATGATACATTATATTGGCGTTTTTGCATCAGCACGTTGGTGTTGTTGCATCATCGATAAGAAACAGAGTGGTGTTGTTGCATCAATAGTGAGGAATTAAAACCACGAATTTATCGCTTCTTGATGATGCTACATGTATACCAATGACAGTTTTTTAAAATATAGATCATGCGCTAACTGCATGTGTATGATTATTGAGCAACTCGTCCTAGAAATGGTTGTAAATTGGGAAAACAAAACATCGTACGAAAATCTACCACCGGAAGTCTGGCCATCTTGATGCAACAACACGGTGTTGTTGCATCACGATACCCCCCAGTGAATATTGATTCTTTGATAACCTTGTATATGTAAATTGTATTGCATTGTATCCTTTATAACCACAAATACATTGTGAGTGCATTTACAATGTTTTTAGGTTAATTTACATGTCACATTCGTATAAGCATACAATCATGTATTACGCTAGGCCTACAGTCTTGGCTTCCAAAACCATTGCTTCATCATCATCATCATAATTTAAAAGTTTGAAATATGATGTCGTCGTCACAACTTCTTAACAAATTAAGAAGTGCAACTCTTTCCGCATCTACGGAATTGCAGAAACGTAAAAATGTGTTGCACATTTAATTACAAAAGTTACATTTTGGCTTTGACGAAGCCTACCTAAAACTAGTTTTATATAGTAGGAGTTTTTTCACCAGTGATACATCATTCAATTTTCTATCAACTCTGAAGATTTGGAGACAAAACATGAAATATATTTTGATATATCTTTATTTCTGTGAAGGATGTATGGGACCGACCTAGCGTCACACATTCTGCAGTTTAATGGCCTAGTCACATAGCCCGGCCGATGTCCGGCATCGGTAGAGCTCGGTGGATTTTTTTGGTGCCACCGAGCTCTCCTCATCGGAAGCAGAGCTCGGTGACGTGAACGGACTCCGTCCGGACATCTTCAGGCGACCGACCGAATACCGGCCGGTGACCGTACGGAGTCTGTCTCAAAATGGTAGTTTTTTTCTGCCGATGTGGCAGCAACTACCGGCCGGAAGTCGGCCGGACATCGGAAGGAATACGGCCGGTACCCGAGCAGGTAACAGGACACCGTGCGATCGCCGGCCGGGTTGTTAACGGGCTTTGAACTGTGACCGGCCGATGCTCTGTCCCACATCGGCCGGAGCTCGGTCGGAGCTCGGCCGCTGTCCGTTAAAATACCTCGTCCTCTGGTTGTCTCAGATGCACGGGACACCGGCCGATACTCGGCCGTGCACCGGCCGACGTGTTTTCCGATGTGGTTACGATGGGGCTGCGATGACATGATGAGGGAGCTCGGTGAGAGCCCGGTGAAATTTAACTCCGAAGTTAAAATTTCACCGAGCTACCATCGATGCGGTTTTAAGCAACAAACGCCACGGATGTCCGGCCGGTGTCCGGCCGGTGTTCGGCCGAGTTCGGTGAAAATTGCATCGCTGGCTCATCGTAACCTCATCGGCCGGGCTATGTGACTAGGCCATAATGCAGGTTGAACAAAACGAACCATGATGGTTATGAATTACACCATTTCGATACGCCATAATCGATTATGAATATTGTGCCTTCACTTTGTAGCATTCATGTCACATTCATTCTTCGGGGCCCTCTACATGATTTCCATTAAGTGCTACACACTTCCTCATTATCCCCTTACTCAAGATTGAAAGACATGGGCGATTCCATGCTCTGACATGGTAGCAAACTGAAGTTGCACAGCTCGTTTTATTTCATCGATGTCATTTAACCTGCATCATTTTTTCTATAGAAAAAGTAGTATAGAAATAAAAGTCATGTGTGGCCAGATCTGGACTAAAGGGTGCATGCGCCAAGGGCTTCATGTTCAGGTCCAGGGATATTGTATCCTGGACATTTTGAGATACTTGGGCAGGGGCATTGTCCACATGGAGTAGGGTGTTACCTCCTCTCACTAACCTCTTCTTCCACATTGTATTCTCAAATCAACCTGCAAACCCTGACGATACAACACTTTAGCCTTACAATACTGATCTTTTATGTGTTACTACAGGCAGCATGATATTCAAACAACACAACTCTTGTGGCATATCAAAAAGTTCAAATCTAACTGATATGCCAAATTGGCATTACTTTAGAATATGTGACGTAAATGTCGGTCCCGGGGTACTGTACTCCCTTCACGGAAATAAAGATATATCAACATGCATTACATATTTTGTCCTCATATCTTCAGAGTTGATAGGTAATTGAATGATGTATCACTGGTGAAAAAATCAATGAGATTGGTCCATAAAAAGCATCCGTGTAAAAAGCGTCCATTGCTTATTGATCACCCCTCGTAAATTGGGCACATTTTCTGAAAAAATGAAAGGATTCTGTCCTGTGACCTTTCCTTAGGTCCTACTTTTAGCTATTTTTTGAAAAAGTTATTTCATCATGTTAGGGTCATTCTGACCATGTACATTGTTATCCTGGGCATGTAAATGATATGTGGAACTAGCTTAACTGACTGGAGGTCAAAACAGAACTATCTCGTATGTTATCTTGGTTCAAAAAACTGTTTAAAATCCAGCATGGTTTTTCACTTCCTGTTTTGTCATTTCCTGTTAAGTACCATGAGACCTTAAAGCATTCCACATTGTATTAAGTGGAGACGCAGCACAGACATTCTCATTGTATTGAAATTCCATAGCTCGATAAAGAAGGAGCTGTTTGTAAATATATTTTACTGGTAGTGTTATCAACATGAGAAAGAACAGTAAGGATAAATAACTACAACATTGACTATGAATGTGTGACTCTTTTCATGTATAAAGCATTATTGAAATGTCCAGACATATCCAGACATTTGATTTCTGATAAAAATGTTCAGATTAGACAGGTCAATTTTTCAAATCTACTTGTTCACTGTTCAGATTAGGAGGTGTTCAGATTTCAAGTTTTTTTTAACATGGGAGTCAATGGGAGGAAAATGACATGACATTTTACTCGACTAAACACCTTCTCACACAAAAGTTGAAGTTGTTGAAGTGGTGGGGGGGGGGGTTACAAGGGCTTGTAGCTAGACGAACAATGAGCATTAGTTTTGAGGTAAAGCGCCCAGGGAGACATTCCAAGAAACTAAGTAATGTCCGACAAATACATGGATGTATATGCTAGTCGAACACAAATGGACCACAGGCGTATTGTTGTGTTTGGATGGAATTTACAGAAGCTATAAATTACAAAGAAAATTGCTATAACATAGATCAAGGATGCAATCTAGTGAAAGTCATCCCATCTATTGTTGCCATCTTCTCTGACTTATATTAATTAAACAATGACCTCTTTTACTTGAAACCCTTTCCAATAGTTTGTAGATTCATCCACTCTATAATCCTTTGTTCAAGCAATCCAAGCAAAGGCCAATCAAAACAAGCAATCAAAACAGAATGTTATGCTTTAAGTTGTATCTGACATTTATTTCATATCTGATTAATTTTCAAATTAACTCTATGGCCATGATGGCTACATTTGGGGCCAGGAAGATCTTGTCAGCATCAAAACTGTGTACTAGTATTTATTTGTCCCAATCTAGCAATATAGAGGAAGGTCCATTTATAAGAGCCATATGAGTTTTTAATTTTTATTTAGTCTCTATCAGTTCCTTGAAAGGAAAAATTAGTTTAATAGACCCAATGACAGTGTGAAGAGTCCTAAAGAATCGATTAAGGACTAGCAAATATATTCAGAATATTACAGTCAGTAGAACCTGTATATCCGAACACGTCTCTTGTATGAACACCTCACAATGTGTACACATATTAAGGTCACAGCCAGCTTGTTAAGAACCTTGAAACGTGAGTGCTTGCCAATAATGCAGATGCGAGTAGAGAGTTACCAGTTTCATCACCAGGTGGCTCATTCGGGTCAGATAGCATGGTGGGTATAGCAGAAATTTCCCTTTAACTTAAATAACATCTGTTTTAGTGGTTCAATTTTTATATAACCCTTATGTATCTAATAGTTATGCAAATTAAAATATGTCCAGTAAAAGAAAATGTTATCTGTCTAATAAAAGAAAAGATTGATATTTCACTTTTTGTGATTTTGTAACATGGGATCTATGGGGAATCAACTCGAACTAAAAGTCACATTTTCAAAAAAATTAAATTTTCAAAGTTGATAAACAATTTTCGAAACCATACTTCTAGATGTACTTTTACATGTAGATTTCAAATGACATCACATTGACTGATGTCGTAAATCAAGATTATTTCTACTCGCGTCTAGTCTATTCAAACACTTGGCCAGTCAGAGTAGCGTTCAGATATGACAGGTTTTACAGTAATTTATTTCCACACTTTCACCACTCCATCTCTGGAGCTAGTTAATATTAAGCATTGCATTGTTTGACAGAGTTTGATATCTGTTATGACATCATGGTGTCCTTGTGGTGGCGTGTCTGGCTCACGACGTGGAATCTCATCATTTCCAATACCCTTCTGTTTACTGTAAACCTCTTGTATAACATCTGTGCCTTCAATTAGACCAGACCTGAAAACAATCCAATATCAAAACTATAATAAAGAAACATATTCCCAATTTTTTCAATATTCTGATTTTTTTTTATCTTTAAAAGCACAGAGACCTTTCAAATGAGTCATGAGTTGTGTCTTAACAATTTTTCCTTGCATATATAGACCAAAAAGTCGGACTTGAATTTAGCACATTTTCCTCTTAATCTTGGGCACATTTTTGGCTCTGAAGCACAATTTTAATTTTTGTGATAAGACTACGGCCAGGCTCAAATGCCAAGATTGATAAAAAGATCTTTGCTGCTATCAGAAGTAACAAGAAGTAATAACTAAATTAAATAATAATTAACTATTAATTATAAATAAAAAATAATTATTAACTAAACCAGCTCATGGGTTTACATGTAGGTAATATTTATGACGTCAACTTCAATTTTGATTGAAATACTTGGTGCTTCATCTTCGCTTTCCATTTCAACAGTAGCTACTAACCTATAACTGACGACAGTGTTGTTGACTGGATCACTGGCTGCTGTTGCAACAATGTGTGAGTTCTTGGGGTAGTCCAAGTCCCAGTAGCGTATTCTCATGTCAGAGCCAGCTGTTAGCAGGAACTGGTGGGTGTCTGTCTTACCAAGGTGCATCCCATTCACTGAGTGACTAGAGGCCTGAAATGCAGTAAAACCTGTCTAAATGGAACATATTTGGTACCTGTAAACAGTGTTCCACTTGGGAGGTGTTCCACTTATAGAGGTTTATTTAACATTTAATCACTTGGTCTTGGGACTCTGAAAGGTGTTTCACTAGCAGAGGTGTTCCACTTCTAGAGGTGTTTCACTTTACAGGTTTCACTGTATTTTGTTTATTTTTTAGTTAAATGTTTAGTTAATTGTTTCATTCATAATTTTATACATGTAAGTAATGACAATGTGACACTGAACATTTTTATGTGAATACAATACCATTATAATAGTTTTCAAAGGTATTCAAAATGGAGTTGGCAAGAAGAGGGGTGCTCATAGATGGGCTACTTTCAAATATAGACCAAGTTTTAAATATCCTATCATAATCAAACAACAATTATTAAATTAGATGATTAACAATGCAAACCTGTGTTCGGGACAAAGCTGGAGCAGTACTGGCCCATAAAGTCTTGTACCTGGCATCAGTCTCAAGATCCCACATGGATACCTCATTGTTTCCTTGAACGGAAGCAACGACCCAAGATGGCTGACTAGGGTGTGCTAGGAGTTTACGTACTCGTGCACCAGTGGGATGATTAAGTGATGTGATTGGCAGCTGGAAGCGCATGTCCCAACAAGTGAAGGTGCCGCTACTCGTTCCAACAGCCAACCAATTCTGTTGGCGATGTACACTAAATGAGGTTATCAATCCTGAAATTAAGCTTCTTTATTAAAGCTACTAAATACAAATATGTAAGAGGGGACAAGTAAATCATTAATATCTACCAACTATTACCATACATTATGTTACCGTGTTCACATGTAATTGCACATAATATCTATTACTTTTATTGGTGGATTGAGATGGTTGGATCGTAGATTGTAGATTCCTGTTGCATTCTAGACAGTAATTTTTCAGGTTAAGAATGGGACTTAAAAAAGCCTGGACTGTCTAGCTTATATTGGTTAATACTTAAAAGTTAGATTTTAAATAATAACCTTTCTTTGGATCATTACACAAGTTCCATGCCACTTCATTAGACCTGAGGTCCCAGCCAATGAGATGACCATGTACTGTGGCATAGACTAAGATAGACTGGGAGCCAGTGTCAGCATAGTTCATATCTACCACTTGGCCAACCTCTGAGATGTCAACATTGCGGGTGTGTGGGGCTGTGATCTTTGTAGAGCCTGACTCAATGCTGTAAAATTGTAGGGTATAGAGCCATTTATGGGCAGGCTATTTACTTGGCTGGGTTTGACAGTTAGATTGCAATGGTACCAGTCTAAGGTATAATATCCCTAGTTTTTAAAATTAGAATATTTGGTTTGATTTAATCTTTTCCTAAATATAAAACTGCAATAGAATCTTAAATGTTTTTTGGTTGTTGCAATAATGTATGATATCATGATATCATAGTAGTGCATCTCATCATGACACCATCTCATCATGACATCATATCATCAATTAAATATAACACTTACTTGAGTATGTGTATAGATCCATTGTCGGAACAGCTCGCCAAGGAATTAGAATTTTCACAGAACAGAACACATTTTATTTGGCCACCTGAAGCAGGAAAACTCATTACAGAAACCTGTCAAAGTGGAACACATCTGGTACCTCTAAAAAGTGTTCCACTTGTAAGATGTTCCACTTATAGAGGTTTATTTAACATTAAGTCAATTGGTCTTTAGGACTCTGAAAAGTGTTTCATTTCCAGAGGTGTTCCATTTCTAGAGGTGTTCTATTTAACAATTTTACTGTATATACAAATTATACAAAAGAACCTTGCACCTTGTACCCTGCTATGTAATTAATCTGCCTTGTAAAGGAAAATAAGTTTTGCTATTCTGGTAAATATCCAATTTACACATAGGGATAAGTTTTATTTATTCAGTTATTATGTTTTAAATTATTCAATTAATATTTTGAAACTAGGTGTAAATAAAACAAATCCCAAAGTTTTTTTAAATATAAATATTTTGCATTATCTGGAAAAAGGAGGCCTTCAATGTTATAGTACGGAGCATACCTTGTTTACTGTAAGTCTGCCTTGATCTGTTTGTGACACTCTTGCCTTCCATCCTACTGCACTCCCAGATCTTCACAGTGCCATCATTTGAGCATGTCGTGAAATAGTTATGGTCATCGCTCACTTCCATCCTGTAAATATGAATACAATGTTGTGTTGTCAAATAATTTTAATCTCTTATATCTGGTCACCAATGTTTCTGGTTTGTGCTTCATGTTTACAGATCATGTACAGTGAAACCTGTTAAGAGGAACGCCTCCACATGCGGAACACTTTCTTTAAAGTATAAAAAAGTTTTGAGGTACCTGATGTGAGCAGAAAACCTTCTTGTAGTTGAACACTATTTTGAGTTAAATGTGTTCCACATAAACAAATTTTAATGTTCATATAAAGATAACTGGTCAACTGGTCCCAAATCTATATAATGTATACTATAGTTCATGAAAATGATTTAGGAAAAAGTTCTGTGTCATGTGAGTTTTGAGCCAGTAACAAGAACAAATGAAGGCTATATATACCTGTTTACTGCAAGTCTGTGTTCGTGTAAATGTGCAACTAGAAGTCCTTTCGGTTTCCAGTTAGAGGGTGGGGGTCGCTTTTCCCATGATGCAACATCAAGGATATCGCGGCAAGACATACCATTTGCATACTGATCACGTTTTTTATAAACAACATTGTGTAGCTCCATCTTACACTGGGAATATTGCACTGGAATTCAAAGCAAGTTATATTAACTCATTTTTTATAACATGCATTGTCTACTTTTATGTAATTGCGTGAATGTGTTATGTGATCAATAAAACATCAATTGGGAAGTCACATACTAAATAGTTTAGTTCACATAATACCTTGAATGGATTTTTCTGGATGTGTTTGGGTTGTAGCTTTGGTATCCTTCTTGGGAGTCCCATTCAAACTTGATTCTAAGTTTGACATACTAATTGTGGTTTCAACATGTTCCTTTGGGCTACCACTTGTCACAGAATCCTTTTTAGTGGGAGATGTAGGCTCCTTATGAGAGGCAACATCTTTTAATTTGGGATGTTTCTCAGTAGGTTTTTCTGTTGTTGCACTTGTAGAGCCAAACATGTGCTTCCATTCTTCATTCTGGAAAGTAAAAGGAATACAACAAATAGATGAGATGCAACACACTCTTCATAGATAGATGTCACCTTGGTGGCTTTTTAGTTGCATGACACAATTAATTTTTGGTTATATGAAAGTCAAATATCATGGACCATGTATATACATTGTACTTGTTTCAAAAAAGGCCAGGGGACAAGCTAAACAAAATGAATTCTTTCATTGTAGTACCATGAATAACTGTATTACTATGGGGGTTTCAATGTCCTCCAGAATTAACATCAACAAATACTATTTTTTGATGTGGGTTGTAAGCAACAGTGCTGGGTTTAGAAGGATTTCATTTATGAGTAAAACTATATTTTATATTTCAATAAAAAGAAATGAACATACCATAACTGTTGACTGAAACTCAGACACTGTTCCTCTTTTCTTACCAGATTTTCTGAAATGGAAGTGAACATAATTATATAGCCTGGATATAAAATTGGCAAGGCATACTATAATTGGTGATGGGATTTATAAGGAAAATGAGAAAATATGACTTCCACTTTCATAGTTTCAATTGACCAAAAATTGTATATACAAAAAGCTAATTATGTACAGGTACAAGTTAGTAGCCTGAAATCATGCAGCTTAGCAGTAAGGTCAGCTCATTGTGGAGCCTGAAATGAGAATGGGATGATAATGTCAGCTTTAAACCTGTGCATGATGCAATGGTCTTACCCGTTATTTGCTTTTATAAGAGCACGTGTAAACCAAAAGTAAAGAGTCATGCCTGGGTCACATTTGCTCAGATTCATCGGCCAGCGTCTGGCTGATGAGTATTTTGTTCAAAATTGTATACAGTTTTGACCAGAATACTCAAGCGCCCAGGCGCTGGCCGATGAATCTGAGCAAATGTGACCCAGGCATTAGTGGGCAACTCAATGACTAATTGGCTTATAATTTGATACATGAACACCTCACCAAAATGGTCAACAGTAGTTTATTATTCTAACCTGACTTGTGCATTTGGACCTCCTTCTCCTTTATAATCCTTGGGTCTGAAGAGTTCAGCATGTCTTCTGGTGACAGACTTCATCATTGCTGATGCCAGGTTCACTCTACCTTCCCCAACTTCCTCATCAAAGCTTGACTTTTCAGATGAGCTGGATATAAGATAGGATCAAAACAAGTCACAAGATACAAACACATATGTCCTCACACCCTTCCAATGCACAGAGTCGAAAAGCCAACAACATGACACGCTCTCTGAGATGGTTACAAATCACAATGTGTCACCACTTCTTGATGGTGACATTAAAATGAAAGAAAGCAAATAGCATGATATATCTATAATTTGTTGCATTTTTGATGGACTTTGAGGAATTGGCCCTACTATTCTGCATGACTTTTGTACAATGAAATTAATTTTCTCCACATTGTTGCCACTTGGTGGTGGTTGGAGAGTAAACAATTACATCATCAAATATATACAATCTAGATGTACTTACCCAGCTCTTGCTCTGTTTAGTTTCACCATGAAGTCTTTCAAAGCCTGCAATACAATGCGATTTGACCTTGAAAGAGCTCAAACATTGAACACTTTGAGATCTAACCCAGTAGTCGATGTGTTGGCACACCAAGTGTTATATATCATTGGAATGATCAGTTATTTGAAACCCTGTATATGTAAGAATATCTTGCACCTTGTTATACAGTAAATGGTTAGATTGATAAGTAAAAATGGGGCTGTTCCATGAGTCACAAAAAAGTATGTTATAACGTTATTTATTTTATCTTTTATTTATTTTTATTTATTTTATAATGTTATTTTTAACGTTATGAAATAACACAATCAATCAAATACATCAACTACTGTAATCAATAAAACTCTCAAAATAAAACTACTTTGGTGATACTGATATTTTGACACATCTCTAACTCACCAATAATTTATCCTCCCCCTGTTCAGTTAAACCTTGTGACATGAGCTTCCGTAGCAACTGTCCCACAGCCTCATCAACATCTGAGTAGTTTGGCTTATGACCTTGACGACTGATCTGTCGCATTACTTTCCGCTCCTGTAGTATGTCAAACAATTTCTCTATATGGGGACTCCTCAGTATGTAGTCATATATTGTTCTGGACAGTGGCTCTTTCAATGCATTCATTAACACAACCTAACAGAAAATATTATAAGGGAAATTTAGTATATATCTTACTAGAATATCGTTTTCTTAGCTTTCTCAATACCTACTCTCTCATATTCTCAATAAATGTTTTAAGATGTTCTTGGTAGTCCTTGTCACTTTGTATACTTTCAAGAAAGCAGCTGGCACTTAAATATTTCAGGTTCAATTCCCATGACCCAAGCCTTGTCACTCTAATAAAATGTTTTCTTGTGAACAATCAAATTATGGGATATACAAATACATGTGGTATTGTAAAGATATGCAACAGACATACCTACTTGATGTGTTATCAGAAATAAATCTATATTTTTATAATTGTAAGGTCGTCATGTTAAATATTACCTCTTTCCCAACTTGCAGAACCTGCTGCTTCAGGAATGGCTTCACTAGTGGAAGTAGATTGCAGTGCATGTCTGCAATGTTCAATGATCTCGCAGTCGCAGAAATAAAGCCCACAGCAGCATAGCGCACCCATGTGTCCTGCAAAATAGTTATTACATGTAAGAGGTAAATACATAATACACTATTAATCAAGTGATCTTTAGCATCGTCATATGAACCACAAATCAATGTGAATTAACATACACCATCCCAGTTTGGACAATGGATATTCAGGACTGTTCTGTACCCCTGATAACTGTTACCATAACAACCAAAACTGTAACATTTTGAGACAATCCAACAATAAAATTCCTTAGCAATTTATGAAATAAACTCACAGGATGACATAAAAATGGCACAACTTCCACGATGAACTCATGCAAGATTGGTTTCTGTAACAGTCCTAGTTCTGTAAGTGACGTCATAGCAGAGAGAGCCTTCTGGATGACAAACTCCTCTGTATCGCTGAGGCCCTGTTGAAGAAGGGGTTTTAAGATGCCTGAGCTGTGCCAGCCAACATATGCTGCCACTCCTACTATACTGTCAAAGAAGACTCCTCGTATGTGCCAATCAAACTGGAATAAAAAATGTGGAAACTCATTAAAGTAAACAACCGGATATAAAAAAACCCAGTTACTATTGTTATTTTAACAAAAAAATTTAAATACAATTAAAAAAGAAAATGAAATTAGAGCATACCTTATCATTGAGGAATGTTATCATATGGGACAGAAGCACATCATTGGCTGAAAAAAAACATCAACATAAAATATTGATAAAATGATATTGAATAGAAGTCAACAATCTTCATCTTCTAAACTATGTTTCAAAGGTATAATTTAACGATTATCATTAAAACTAATAATTTAAAGTAACACAGTAACAAACATAAAAGAGACATCATGAAGTACTTGTATTTGTTTAACTATTATAGTTAGTACTGTATGACTTTCTAATAACTAAACCAAAGAGATCTTTTGAAATTCCATGCTAAGCCAAAAATAAACCAAGTGTCACCATGTGAGCTAAAAAGTGAAGTTCTTTATAAATGCATTGAAAGTTGGGCAGAATAAAGGGAATACACTGTACAACATACACTTTAGAACTGTTCACACACCTTTCTGCCTTCCAAAGAAGACACATAGCTGAGTTATACCATTCTGCAGCAGTGTTTCTTTCACAATATTGTCAGGGTCACTGAGTAGCTGGACGACCTTTTGCTGAACCTGCAAATTAGGAGTTGTGACAAAAATGTATTAAAAATCATGAAAACAATCGAGGACATTAATGGATTGGGTCATTTGTTATATTTGTGTTGGTTGTTGTGGATCTTAATTTGTGTGTATGCACAAGTCAGTACATATATACTAGTGGTGTCAATTAACTGCTTAAGCATTAACCGGTTAACCGGGTGTTTTTACCAGTTAAAATCAGTTAACCGGCGGGAAATTTGAACTGATAATTTCAAATGAAATCTTCATGTTCGGAAAAATGATATATCAGCGTTTATTTTTTACGTTCGTCAAGCTTTACTCTATTCTATTCATACACTACCTGACTACCGTACCTCTAAATTACTTACCACACTGGTTTACCCTTGGCATCTCCACGGACGCACCATAACAACGAGAATTGCAGCTGATTAGTGTTTATTTTAATTTTAATTTTCTCACTACCAAAGCGAGGCTTTGACCTTTGACATTTTGGCGAAGTTGATAGACAACAATAATAAAAAACTGACGAATTAAAAAATGCATGTAATTTGTTTATGAAATTGAAAAACAAACAGATTAACATGCAAAGTAAGCGCGGGAAAGCAATGTGGTAGGGATTAAAGTTGCTGATTGGATGTTTGTAAGGAGGTATAGGACCTATCCCATGTATGAGTAGCTCACATGAAACTGACGCTTGAAAAACAAACAGATTAAAATGCAAAGTAAGCGCGGGAAAGCAATGTGGCAGGGACTAAAGTTGCTGATTGGATGTTTGTAAGGAGTTATCGGACTTATGACATGTATGAGTAGCTTATGTGAAACAGACACTTTAAAACCAAACAGATTAGCATGCAATATAAGCGCGGGAAATAACAGAATTATACACGGTCAACTAACCACCCATAAAAACACAGACCGGTCAAGGCATTATCGGTGGTTAACCGGTTAATATTTGACACCTCTAATATATACTACTAATAAATAGGAAAGCATAACAGAAAGACAATGTATGAGCGAAATATAAAGAGAGGGAAAGTATCACTATGTTCAGAGACAAACCTGTTCATGTAGAGCTTGAAGTTCAATATCATAGCTAATCTGTTGTTGAGACAACATGCCATTACTCTCATGGGTAGATTTGCTTGGCATCTCTAACTGGATTATTTCAAGGAATCTGGTAAAACATAACATTAAATTATGAGGGCAATTTCAGTCAGGAGAGCAATGCATAAAGTGTTCATCTGATGGTGATTTCAGCCAAGAGAGCAATCTATAAACTGGTGTTTATGGGGGTGTTTATCTTATAGCAACTTCAGTCAAGTGAGCAATAATTAACAAATCTTTATCTGATGGTTGTTTAGCCAAGAGAGCAAAGAATAAATGAATGTTTACTTGAGGGAACTTTCAGCCAAGAAACTATTAACTAATGTTTACTAGTATCTTAAGGCAATTTCAACCAAGAGATAAAAACTATGACAAAGTGCTTACCTTAGGGCAGTTTCAGCCAAGAGGGCAATATTCTCAGCATAAGCCACACGCACCATCACCACTGGGTCCTGCACCAAGTTACTCTGCGTAAAGAAATATCATGTGACATTCTTAAGAAATAATAATCGAAAAATGAATTGCCTATTTATAATTCAACTTACAAATTATTAACAATTAAGACTCAAATGTTGCTTGAAAAGAATTGATAGATAATACAATTCTTTCACTTAAGTGCCCAGTGATAACAAATGCCACAATATCATGCAGCCTAGATAAAATCTGAGATCAAAACATACTGGAAATAGTACTATATTATGTATGTACTATACATGTACATATAACATAAAGTTGCCATTTTTCTTACAGCGCAACTATCGTCAAATATTCAACTGAAGATTTGGCCATTAATATGGGGAAAAATATAGCTTACCAAGTTAGGAAGAATATACTCGGGGAATATATTGGCATCATTTACAGGCAGAGTTTTGATATTAGCCAGGCACTGTGTTATGGTCCTCAGTGCTGCAGCTCTCACTCTGGGGTACTGATCTTGGATGAGATGCAACTGAAATGGAACCACAATAAATGCAATGCAACTCTGGAGTACTGGTCCTGGATCAGATGCAACTGAAAGGGAACCACAATAAATGCAATGCAACTCTGGGGTACTGATCTTGGATGAGATGCAACTGAAAGGGAACCACAATAAATGCAATGCAACTCTGGGGTACTGATCTTGGATCAGATGCAACTGAAAGGGAACCACAACAAATGCAATGCAACTCTGGGGTACTGGTCCTAGATGAGATGCAACTGAAAGGGAACCACAACAAACGCAATATAACTCTGGGGTACTGGTCCTGGATCAGATGCAACTGAAAGGGAACCAAATAAATGCAATGCAACTCTGGGGTACTGGTCCTGGATGAGATGCAACTGAAAGGGAACCACAATAAATGCAATGCAACTCTGGGGTACTGCTCTTGGATCAGATGCAACTGAAAGGGAACCACGGTAAATGCAATATAAGCAGGCCCTCAATTTAAATAAAAAAGAATGGATTGTATGTTAATATTGCATCTGAACCTCTCTTTCTTTTTAATAAATTCAAGATTTTATAAAGTATATTTTTAGTTTATAAAAGTTTTTTAGTTTATTCACATTTTGTACTTAAAACGTGTACATACATGTAGTATACATTACCTTGAGAACTCAGAAATCAATCAGAATTCTAATACAAAGCAATTATAGGAATCTTGAAAACCAGGGAAACCCAGAAAAATGAACTCTTGTTGTCAAACAAACTAAATTCAACTGTAACTGTGATGAGGATATTTTTTAAGGTGGATTTTTTTATATTTACCATATATGGCACTAATCTGTCCATGATGATGACAGGAGGTAGATACTCAGACAACTGTTTCAACACATCAAGGGCATCCAACTTGGAGCTGCAGTACTGAAAACAAATTTGGGGTAAAGTCAGGTCTGGTTGCCTTAGCAACAAATTAACACTTTTAAAGTTGAGAACTGGCAGGGAAAAATAGCGAAGAAAAGCTGCACAAATTGCAATAATTGCATATTCTAGATTTCAACTCCCAGTAAAATCTAAAAAAGTTTATCCAGTTCTGATGAGAATATATTTTATGAGCTGCAGTACTGAAAGCAAATTTGTGTTATGTCAGGTCTGGTTGCTTTAGCAACAAACTAACACCTTCAGAGGTGAGAACTGGCAGGGAAAAACAAAATTGCAAAGGAAAACTGCACAAATTGTAAATTTTAGATTTCAACTCCAAGTAAAATCTTTAAAACATTTATCAGTTTTATTCCTAGTACTGCTATTTATAAGCAGGTTTTGGCATTTCTTTATACTTAATTTAAACCTGGATTTGTTTTAGATGTAAAAATGTACTTACATTTAAGTCTCTAAGATTTGATGTTAGCAAAGACACAAGAATAACAAGACTTGTGTTCTCTGTTTCTCCAGATGATGATACCAACTTCAATTCTTTTTTAATCAGGTCCAAGTCTTTCTTAACTCTGTAAGTAAGAAAAATGTAATTTATTAAGAGAGTGTGTGCTTGTTTCTGCAAAAACAAACAATCAAAGGATTGGGATACAATATTGTATTAAAAAATTCAAACATATGTTTGAGAGCTAACTTTTGTATAATTTAGATTGTTTGCTGTTTGCTAATAACTGTGTAGGCTCTTGTGCTTTTATGCATTTCTGTCACACTTGTTTTGAACAATTGATATAAAAAACAACATGACAGATACTCTCAGAATTACAGCTTTACTGTACATTATACAAACTATCTGAAATTCACTAAAAGTTAAGTTTCTAAAATATAAATGTATTTTCTATGTAATATTATTCTTGTGGTCCATTAACTGCTTATTTTTGTGAAAACAAATCAAAACTAACTTAATGAATGGAACTGAACTATTGCAAAAATTGTTCATTATTATTATACATATATCAACAACAAATCTGGTCACCTCATGATGCGAGCATCTGGACTCATTATTGGCGTACTAGCGAATCTCTGGATGTATAACTTCAGGAATGTGTAGAATGTATCAGGAAAGGCTTTGCCTCTCTGTTGTATGAGATATTCCTCAGCTGAGAGGCGGTGGTTCGGATCTTTCTGTATCATGTGCCTCGCCAGTTCCTTTAAAGAGTAGAAGGGGTAGAGATAAGTTTAGATTAAATTGTCAAAATTTTTAAATATTTTGCTCTCATCATTCCACAGTCCAACAGTTCAGGTTAAGATTGACATGATTTTTCGAAAAGTTGTTTCATACATTTTTCTTATTCCTTTTTAAGTCAATTGATTGATATAGGAACAATGCCATATTACATTAATTGTAAAGGAAAAAATTGGTTTTCCTAAATGTGTAATCAATTTATTTGAATCTTTCTATCTTTGATGTCAGAACAAGTGTATCATATGTACAAATATACATAGCAAGCAAATACCCTTATGTTAGAGTCTTCTATCTTCTCCAGTATCTTCCAAGGGCTGTATTCCCCACTCCTATATGACAGTAGCTGTGCAAGGTCAAATGGAGCTGTCCCATCTGTGAATAGTTCAATTATAGCACACCTAAAGAAGCAGAAGAAAACATACTATGTAATACATAAGGCTTTGAATGATGTTCAGCCAGAGACACATAATGCTATACTTTAAGTGGAACCTTTTCTCAAATAATTGTAAGTTATTGTTGACATTTCTTGACATAAGGCATTTACATGAAAAATGGCAACACAACAGTGTAAACAGTGTAACAATTGTCAAATCCCAAACACAGATCACAAATCACAAAAAATCCTTGGCGGTGACATGATAATGACTTAAAAGCTCAGAATTATACAGAGTTTCATTGTGTAAGCTTGGAAAATAATTAGTATAATAGCATACAGTACACAAAATGGACCAAACATGTACTAACCCTGCAGAGAAAATATCCATGGAGGGAGTGAGGTCCCCTTTCTTAACTACACTGGTAGTTAGGTCTATGTTTCCGCCTTGATCACCTGAATCAGTCCTCCAACTACTCTCTATAAACCTGATATACAACAATAAAATACAATAACTACATTGCAATTGTCTATGTTACCGTAGCAACCATAACTCAACTAGTTATAATGTAACAGAAATCTCCATCATTAGGCAAATAAATAAAATGAAACATATTTCATATCAATTAAATATTTCAAAAGTATTGTTTTAGAGACATTTTATGACCATTTATAGATACATCCTCATATAATGTTAAAGTGATGGCAATTAAGGAAGGCAAAGTAAGACAACTTTTGAAATAAGTTAATGAACCAAATTACTCCTTCTACTCCACCTTCCTTAATTAAACATTTATAGCTTGGCCTTACCTTTCAGGGGCAATGTAGCAGGTTCTCCTTCTAGATGTGTCAAAGAAGTAGGAGAAATCTGATGGGTTGTCTTCAGGTAGGTAGGTGGGCTTAAAACTGGCAAAGTCAGTCAACAGAACCCAACTCCATCCCGTAACCATGACATTCTCAGATTTGATATCACCATGACAAACCTTTAAAACATACAGGCAGAAATTAAGTATTGCATCAGTAACAACGTTTACTTGCATTTTACACTACTAAGTATATCTAATATACACTGTTGGTGGTTAACCTCCCTGGTGATTCCCTTTTTAAGGTACCAAAGATGTTCTTTTTCACAGGTCTTACTGTATGTAAACTACCGTAGTTCTAAGAGATATACATTACATTGCATTATTATTACATTAAAGATATACATTAGTCAACCTAGAATACATTTTAATGTTTCAAATTTCCCTCAGATAGCTGAGGGTGTTATAATATACTCAAATTAGACCTCATCGTAAATCTTGAAGGAAACGCTTTTAAAGTTAATCTCTTGTTTGAATCTACATACTTACTCCAAGTTTGTGGCATTGATTGAGAGCACACAGTAACTGGAAGGCTATCCACTGTTTCTCTCCATTATTGAAAAAGGGGCGAGTGCTGATCCTGTCATAAAGACTGTCCTTGACATACTGTCTGAACAGCAAACTAGCCTTGTCAGACAACTACAATAAACAACAAGACATTAACATGAAAATGTCACCACCAGCCATTTTTCATAGATGCACACTGCTGAACGCAGAATGCAAAACACAGATAGCTGAACATTGTCCACAAAAAAGTTGGTGGTAGCGGTGACATAATAACAATGTTCCAATGATTGTAGTTGCTTTACAATGATCAAGCCTCCAAAAAATTAGTCCTAACCATTTTATTTCCAAAATTATATGGAATAATATAGAAATATATCAAATGACTGAATTAAATCGAAGATTGCATATGTAAATAAACAAAAGGCAATGATACAAAGTAACTTTGAACAATCAACCTAAATAAAATCTTACAGCGAAAGAGAAATACTACTACATGTAGAACATACCGTTACTCTCTGAAATGGCAGGCAGTTTGATGCTTTCTCGAGTCTTGCCCGTAATTCTGCAAATAGTTTTCAAATAAAGAGTAAAAGAGAGTATGGTTTGATCTTCAGATAAAGTTTTTTAATAGTTAAACTTGATATATGAGCCTGGTAAATGAGGAAAGAACTGAATCTAAAACATTTTCTGTTAAATTAAATATATTTATATGGCCTCCGAAGATTATCTTTGTCATACTCTTGCTTATTTTCCTGATATTCAGCCATAGAATAATTCCATTACCATATGTTAAATAGTCTGAAAGGCAAAGTCTCCAAGATCTTTAAATTTGCCCCTTACCAAGGAATAAGATGCAGTGACAGTGTTACAAAAAATGAGATGAAACACTTAGGGAGAGAAATATGTTAGCTTATAGATCATAATGTTAATCAAAAATATCTTGTTTTTGACCAGAGCTCTTGTTTCTTCCATCAGAAAACGCGTAAAACATCAATACATACAATATTTACATACCTTCTAGCTTTTCTCTGTGTGACTTGAGAGGAAGAGATGGGTCGTGTATGACAAATACTTTCACAACAGCGAGGCCTTCCTTGTAACGGGCACGAGCCACCTTGAAGAACCTTGTGCTACCAAGGCTAAAATATATCAAAACATGTGATTAAATTATATCTAACTTTAGGCTCCTAAAGTAACAGTTATTCATTTCTCAACATACTAGGCCTTGTACTACCAAGACTTAATGCCTTTGGTTACTATTTGAGCCGACTACATCCAGGTCAAATGGATAAGCTTCATTTCAGTTCCAAAGAGGACTGCATCATGAACAGATGCATGTAGATAACTTAGTACAAATGAATGCAATGGTTTTCTTACCTAGTGTCAAACTCATAGTCCACTACATCAGTGAGGTAAAAGTCTGTTGGTTGAATCTGGGATGGTGCTATACCTGTCAGTTGGTTCCCCATTGCACCTGACACCTTTGTCTAAATAGAATACAATAGTTGTCATATAAGATTGCTGTAAATATGGAAATACACATTTAAATACAGTAAAACCTGTGTACAGTGAACACCTATGGAGCCACAACTTTAGGCAGAAGTTCACTACAGAAAGACAAAAAAATACAGACGTCAGTGGAGTATGTACATAGATGGGGTGTTCATTAGACAAAGGTGTTCACTAGAGAGAGGTGTTCACTAAGACAGGTTTAACTTTAATTCTATTGTGACCAAATAACCAAATAAACATGTCCAATCAGACCTTTTATTATTTAATTGACCAAATAGACAACTGTGGGTTTCAATTAAGAATGGTAAATACTGCTTGGAAATTAAACTGATTTGATGGGTACTAAAAATTCTCATAGTTTTCTTGGTCTGAAAGATACATCTAATTGATAGTGCTGAATTGATGGTCAAATACATGTCGTTAATCTACAGGGGATTTTTAGGTCTTTCAATGTATTTCATGAAATGAAGAGTGACTGCAAATAAAATATACATGCACCCGTCACCCCAACTCGAAGTTTGGTGTGATCTAAGTTACTTTTCTGCCTGGTTTTGTCCAAATGGCAAAAATAATATAATCATAATTACGTTTCCCAAACTCCCATTTGTCCGTTTAACCTTACTCGAGTCTCTAGCCAATTCTTGGCTAGAAGTATTTCCATCTGGAACACTGTGAACTATTGTAAAATTTCTAGCCTGGGTTCAATAAATTTAAGTATAATCTAAAATCGTCAAGTTAATATTTCATGAATTGAAATGGTAAAGGATTGTCTTGTTGATGAGATATTGAAACTTTTTCATTTAGAATAGAAGTCGTCCCATTTTTGTCTGTTCTCAATAAGCTTACATATATATGGCAGCCTAGTCGACGGGAAAATGGTGGAACTCAGAGAAATTCTATTTCGCTATAAAAAAGAATAAATATCATGCGAGTCTTATTTATATAAGTGGCCACACTAAGTGGCCATAGAATATGGTAAGTTTAATCCATGTTGTCTGCTTATTGATACATAAAGACCCGCACAGTTGCATTCCTTAGAGGCAGTGTCTGATAGGAGCACAAAAAGAGAACCTCTTTATATTTTTGCATTAGAGACGTGAATCAGATTTATTCATCTCAACTCAACTGACTCAACTCTAGTTGAATGGCCATGTTCATCTATGCAACTGTCAGATACCGACTCCTACATACAGTGTCAATCTCAGGAACAAATAAATGATCAACTGGACAGTTGGGAATTCCAAAAGCAATTAAAGAACGCTCTGAATATGATTTGGTGCTGCCTTGGTTTAGTTATATGACGACACTTGTGTCACATGACAGGAATTCCCTTCGATGGTGAGAAGCTCAAATTGTGTTATTCTGAAACTTAGTTGCTGATTTCTACATAAGACAGTGTTATGTGTTTGTAGGACCCCCACACAGGAAACCACTGAGTCGTGGCAATTGGCCTAGCCTCTCAGTATCAAAAAAATGACCAGTGAAACAGTGAGTCAAAAGAAAAAATGAAAAAAATGTTGAAATCAGATCAACTCCAGTTTACCTTCTGCAATTATCTCCAAATCACCAAGTACGTCTGTATTAAATGTATAAAATATGTTTTAGTTTATTTTTTTATGATGCAACTTAATCAGGCGTGTATAGTCATGGTTAATATAGGACAAAATCCATAAACTCAACTTTTTGCAACTTCCTATTTACAAATCTCCCGTTTCGTTCAGTGTTATCAGGTAGGCAGGAACGTGGTACTACTCTACTATTAATTTGCCGATTCACGAAGTAAATAGTACTAGATACCCATGGGGAGTAAGTCACCCCCCCCTCTCTAATATTCTATTGAGTCACTTACGCCCAATTTAAATACCAGGGTAATTTACACAGAACTGTTTGTAAATGGTGATAGAGCCCATGGTTTTAGTGAAGGTAAAAACAGTAAAACCAATACAAATCACATGTCAATAGTTCTCTGTGGGTTAGTTATATGGGTATTCACTATTTATTGGAATTTATTCAATAACAGTTTATTTTGCAACCACGACATAAATTGCTGATTTGAAAATACACTCCATAAACGGATCAGAATAGCCATATTTACACTTGTGAATGAACATTTAACCCATTGATGTTGTTAAGTGGCATCGATTGATGGTTTGATGGTTAATATTATTATACTACATCTACATCAATAATCCGCAAAAGGCTTATAAGCCCATTTAAAGCAGATATATAGTTTAACAGTGATATAATTTGAATAGAATACAATTTGAACCTTAACATTTAAAAAATAGATCTATGGTTTACAGCTCATTTTAAAATGTACATTGAAATCATGCAACACTTCTCCACTTAAGGAGGCATCTTCCCCAAGGTGGATGCTCCCGTTCGTAGAAAAGTAGGCCATATTCAAAAATCATTTGTATAAAACAAAAACAAATTTTAAGAATGTACCATAGACCTATTGCTAAAATACAACTGAGCTTAATTGTTAAGCTGCTTGCTGACAGATTTAAAACTGGATAGGCTATTACTGTCTAAAATATCACTGGGTAGAGTGTTCCATTTTACTATTGTCCTTGGAAAGTAACTAAACTTGTATGCATCCGTTCTGACAGCTGGTTGAATGAAATTGGATGGATGGAACTGTCTAGTATTTGTGTTTATTTGAGGGCTGAAGTATGTGGGTATAGTGATGGCTGCTAAGTTGTGAGTTCCTTTGTAGAAGAGGGAAAGTCTAGAAGCCTACCTACAGGATTGTAGTGATCCCACTGCAGGTGTTGGAGAGCTTGGGTGACACAGCCTGGTTCCCTAGGGTGACATTTGGTAACAAATCTGGCTGCTCTCCTTTGTACCTGGTCCAGCATGTTGATATCCTTTGATATACTCTCAAGTATCTGTCACATATTACTGAGGGAAATTGGTTTAAACTGATCCAAAGTTCCCGCCGATGAATGTATAACATGGAAGCCAAATATCTAGCCTCAAGATAATTCAAATGAATAAATAAACCAGATATTGGGTTTAACTTGTTGAACTAGCATTGAATATGCTAACAGTGGGTTTGATTGTGGTACCCCAATAAATGTGGGGTTAATTTTTCAATTATCAACCCCATAAGTACTTGTGTATTGAAATCTTGGGGTTGAAATTAAGCTGGATCAGTGTTTTTTTAGATAAAATTCAGCTTTTTATAAACTACTGACAACCTTTCGAAACGCAAAATGTCAATACTTCAAGTAGTTGTGGGAGTTGTTGGGGAAGTGAATCGGCAAATCAATAGTGGAGTGATACCAGTCATGCGCGCATATTTAACCGGAAGTCGATCATCTGCAGAAATAAAGCTTTGCTCTCATCATTTCGGGCTTAAAGTCATATCTTTTAGTGGGATTACCATTTATATGTATAATAGTTGCAATCTCGTGGTGCATGGGTGCCAATTCTTCTAGGAAAAAAATGAGTTCACCGACTAAGTTAGCTTCTAGCAAACATACTGCCACGGTAAGATTTACACAGAACTTTTTAGTTTTTTGTCTGATCATGGGCTCTATCAGTCTCAGTCTCCTTGTCATGCATTATTTCTCACTGAGTTTGATACAGTTGAATTTGCATTTGCTTTGATATACAGTGCGAATAATAATAAACGGTGGGTTTTCAAACTAGAGATGAGACCACCTCAGACTTTTATCTCAAGGATAGAGTGCACAATTTTTGAAGTGATTTTACCTGTAGTCAAATCACTAATGGGTTTCTAACATGGTGATAGTTCGCGATCATATATATTCTTAGATTTTCGGCACACAGACTAATATGGACATTCTAAAAATTTTGATCCGCATTGCCAAGCGCGAATCGCACTCCTTCATGGTGAAAATTCAAGATGGCCGCCAAAAATATCGTCAAATATGTATATTTTTTTGATAATTTTTTTTACTGCCTTTATTTCAATAAAATGTGATAAATTAGTGTCTTCAAGTATTATCTAATAATATTCCTACCAAATGAATTTTTTATTAAGTATAAACATAAGAAATTGCTTTAATAGCGCCATCTTTTGATAAAATTATACCAAAATTGACGTCAAAATAACAAACATTTCCCTTATTCACTACTTCTTTTCAATAAAATTTGACAAGTTTATATTTTACCAAGGCTTACTGATAATATTCAACATATATCCGTCAAAATACTTCATTATAATCAATAAAGAAGAGTGCTGGGTAGCCCCACCTATAGGTATATATGCATTGAACTGCTCTGAAACATAAATTAATGATTATTATTTTATTCATGCTGACCCAATTTGCTTATTCTTAAATTTACTGTTATCTGTAATGAAAATGTTAGATTTTCGGCACACAGACTAATATGGATATTTTAAAGATCTCAATACGCATTGCCAAGCACGATTCTCACTCCTTCGAGGTTAAAATTCAAGATGGCCGCCAAAATAATCGTCAAATAAGAATATTTTTTTGATAATTTTTTTTTCTGCTTTTATTTCAATAAAATGTGATAAATTAGTGTCTTCAGTTATTATTTAATAATATTCCCACCAAACAGTTCTTTATTAAGTATAAATATAAGAAATTGCTTTTACAGCGCCACCTTTTGATAAAATTATACCAAAATTAACGTCAAAATAATAAACAATTCCCTTATTCACTTCTTCTTTTCAATAAAATTTGACAAGTTTATATTTTATCAATGCTTAGTGATAACATTCAACATATATCTGTCAAAATATTTCATTATAATCAATAAAGAAGAGTGTTGTGCAGCCCCACCTATAGGTATATGCATCAAACTGAAACATAAATTAATGATTATTATTATTTTATTCATGCTGACCGAATTTGCTTATTCTTAAGTAACTGTTATCTGGAATAAAAATGTTAGTGTTTCTAGATTCAACAACATGTAAGTTGTAGAAAGTAGAAATGAGAGTTATATGAAGGGGGAGGGGGTATGTAAGTGGGGATAAGGTTTGTGGGTATATATTGAAGCATGTCACCCATCTTGATTTTCTGAGTGTTTCTGCACTCTGAAGTATAACAGAACTGTATTACAATTTTCTTCATTTTAGTTATATTGAAGTCAGTTTAAAGTCTAATATTCATTGTCTCTCATGTTGACGTGTATAAAGTCAACAAATTATATCAACCCAGACCAAACACCTGTACTTGCTGCTGAACAGCCCCTCTTTGCACTGTTCAAGCAGTAATAGTGGACAATGGCAAGAGATGGGAGAAAAAACGAAGCTGATAAGGATACTTGGTGGAATACACACTGAGATGGGAGCATTTCACATCTTGGGCAATCTATGAGAGAATACTTGGATGGATAATCTCCCTCTCTCAAGCTGGCATAGCCACATCTGGTACAGCTGATTCCTTTATCAAAGTTAACCAACTCGCACTAACTTGCAGAGAACATCATATTTCTGCCTGTAGTCTTTATATTCTTGACAAAAAAGCCTGTGAGACACATTGTTTGTGCTGTGATATCGATGAATAACCTCAGTTTGAGTTGGATGACTGGGTGAAAAACAGTCCCAGCTGAATGGCTCTTCCCAATTTAAGTTCTGGTCGATGGTAATGGATCTTAAACTTTTGAGAGGGCAACTTCAGCCTATACAAAGACACCCTTTCTGAGTTGTTGCCATGCCTTTTTATACTCAATCACACAAACTAGTCAAGGTGGCTACCAGTTTTATCCGTGACATGAACCAATTTAATGCAACACACCAATCAGTGCTTGGTGAATTCAATAAGGGAAACTAAACATTGATTAAAACAACAAGGCACATGACATGAACGAAATCATACCATCTAGACATTGTTTTGGACAGTTATGAAACTACATGTAACAGTTTAGAGTCTGGTATAAGAATTAAGAGAGGAAACAGTAAAAGGAGGCATATTTATCCTGAAAATTCCCTACCTAGAAACTGGCAAGATTGTTTGTGCTTGGAGTAAAACAAGAGAGAACTGTTTCAAATCCTTACTGCAAATGTGAGCAATATAATTATTCATGAACGAAAAAGACTTCTAGCAACCTTTGATCAGGATGTCATGTGTCAATCCACAAAAACAATCCACCAAAGACAAATAACCTTGCACACAATCAACACATTTTTTCTGAAGGCACCAATATGAGTTGGATTTGACAAAGGGGAGACAGTTCAGGTACTTGGCAGCACATGAAATGGCGAATTCCATTGGGCCTCAAAAAGTCTATGTCTGCCATTATTCCACTCATTGACAAGTTACACCTGGATTTCATGGAAGCAGGGGCAGAATTATAGCATGGGACAGATGAAACTCATTTTTACAACTGATGAATGCAATCCTCAGTCTAATAGATGATCCTTTATTAAAGTTATGTTGCTGTATGATAAATTCAGCAATGACACCTCAATCAACACTGCAAGGAAGAATACATTTTTACAGAAGACTACTTCATTATTGACCAAATTCCTCCAACAGCTGACGCCTTAATGCAACACTGCAAGGGAGCATTGTACCAAGGTGTGCATATCTGGGGTCAGTTTAACAAACCAAGTCCTATCATTCCCCGGGTATCATTCCATCTCCAAAGAACTGGGGCTGGAGAACAGAGCCAAGAGACAACTCTCAGAAGCCATACAGGACTACCTTAAAGCAGATGGCTGATGCTAGTCAACCATTAGTGTGGTTGTCAGAAGCAGTGTTTCCCATGAAGATGTACCATGTACCAGCTTGAAGGCTAGTCTAGTATGCACATCATTGTGTGCCTGCAATGGAGAGTATTCATTAGAATAACTAAGGGTTTAAATATGGTAATACTAGGCCCATATAAGATGCAAGATACCCCCTATTTACCCCCCCCCCCCCAAATTTATATGGTTTACATCTTAGAGTTGGCATTCTACTATAAAATAATACTAAAGAATAGTTTTTTATTATGCATGGTACATGATACAGATCAAATCTTCCTTCAACAGTTCAATATATTATAAAGCACAGTTTTGATTTTGAACAATTTCACCAATAGGTGGCGCTATGAGAGACATTCTTCATTATGTGTTTATTTAAATATTGTTTGGAAAGGAATCAGTTTCTACTAAAACATACAAACCTAATATATTCTGATGAAAAAAGGATAGAGATATGATAGGTACAGTACTACAGTATATATGAAATGTACATACCGTATTCTCTGTAATTACCGCCCACTCTCTAATAAGCGCCCACCCCGCTTCACAAAGTTCAAGAAACATCGAGGAATCATAATAATCCATATTGAATGAAGGAATTGTTCTTTATCGGCATTCAGAAATTTCAAAAGCTACTGCGCAGATGTTCTGCGCATGTCAAGGTCGTGAACTTTCTGGTTTCTTTTTAATGTTTCTCGACTTTTACACGACTTTTGCACGAATAATGATGATCTCTCATCAAATTAGAAATAATGTATAACTTAAGATCGATATCCAGCAGTCTCTAGTGGAAATATTGAAGGTAATCGGCGATAATGACAAAGTGGGCGTGCCGGAAATAAATTAGACATAGACGGGTCTTCAACCACTGTCAATATTGTCTAAGCGATCTTTACCGTATTCTCTCCAATAACAGCACTTGTCATATTATTATAAAAATATGTTGAAGAAAATGCATTCTTGTCAAGAAAAATTGCCATACATGAAATTCCTCGGGATTTCTGATTTCTTTCATACATGGGCGCTTATTAGAATGGTCTAAATAATGTATTTTCAATTTTCTAAACGCCCTGGGCGCTAATTACAGAGAATACGGTATTTTAATGATTTATCGAAAATTTGGACGAAATCTTAAAAATGGGGGGAATGAACAACCAAAATCTTCTTTTTTGATAATTTAAATATTTTTCAGGGTAGAAATATTATAAATTGATGTTGAAAAATACTAATTGACCACATTTTATAGAAAAAAAGAAATGAAAAAAATTATCAAATGAATATTATGTAATTGTCGGCAATTTTGGCGGCCATCTTGGATTTTCACCAAGAAGGAGTGCAAACCGCGCTTGGCAATGCGGATCAAAATTTTTAGAATGTCCATATTAGTCTGTGTGCCAAAAATCTAAGAATATATATGATCGCGAACTATCGAGCCATTATTGACTGGGCTACTGTTCATTCTGCATTCAAATAAATCCTTTGAAATATTTTGCGAACATGAATTACTTATACTTACCAGTATGTTCTATGTAGCATTCAAAATATGTTCTCAGTAGTGACTTCCTGCGAAAGCTATTTGGATTTTGATATAATTGCTTTCCCACGGAGCATTTGGACAGCTGAATGATTGTGACCTTTGAAATCGAATTAAGTCGATCAGCGGCTTACTTTTGGTCTCTAACTGTGTATTACATCAGTATCATCAATCCGTGTAAGTATTAGAGCGCTGAAGTACTTTTTCGATCAAGACTTATAAATTGTTCATCGAGTGAATGTTTTTTAGAGCTATTTCCAATATGGCGGTTTGCTAGGAGAGAGATACGCAACGAAGGAAATGAATTTTGAGAATTAATTAGGTTTGGACAACCTCCGGAGATTTACGAAAATGTCCGAGCAGAAAACACCATATTGGAATTTGGCAGTAAAAACATTCACTCGACTAACAATTACAAGTCTTGATCAAAAAGGAAGTACTTCAGCGCTCCAATACTTGCACAGAAGGATGATAATGATGTATAACATAGTTAGAGAACAAAAGTAGGCCGCTGATCCACTTAATTCGATTTCAAAGGTCACTATTAATCAGCTGTCCACTTCCCCGTTTAAGAGTCATAAGTTTCAAAATCTAACATGGCTCTCGAAGTGAGTAACTCAGTAGCATTTAAAAAATATGCTCCATTAAAGTAGCATTCAAATTATGTTCTAGGTGGCATTCAAAATAATGTACATGTACACCGCCCTTCTGATGAAATCAAACTGCATAATATATTCAACTGAATCAGAAAATATTGCTAGTTGAATATAAAAAGATGTTATAAGGGAATATTTGCCTTATATTATAATATTCAAAAATGTTAGGACGCTACGCATTATTATCCCAACGAACGAAGTTCAAGGGGATATAGAAAAGCCATCCGTTCATCCGTCCGTCCATTGGTCGGTCCGTTCATATGTCTGGACAATAACTCAAATACCAGTTGATGGATTTCATTCAAATTGTATAAGGCTTATGCCTTGTGGGTGTGGGACCTCTGCTCGAGAAGGAATTTTCAATATGGCCACTAAATTCAAAATGGTGGCTTAATTTTCTGAAAAAATATAACTCAAATACTAGTGGATGGATTTGGTTTGGATTTTCGTAAAAAAACGTTATCTTTGATAACTCAAATCAAAAACCTGTTGACGGATTTCATTCAAATTTTAAAGGCAAAAATATAATCTTTGACAACTCAAATACTAGTGGATAGATTCGGCTCAAATTTTATATGGCCGCTATTTACCAAAACATGTTTTGTTTGGTGGGATGTGCTACTCCGTGGAGTTGCTGTTTTTCTAGTTAATTCTAGTCGATAGCTCAGATTTGTCAGTATCTCTAATCAATATTTCGCCATGTATTGTTCTTTTTAAATTGAAGGTGTATTGCATTTAGAAGTCTATGTTTCAACAGGCTTGAGTTTGCCACTAAAACCACTATATCTAGTACTTGACAGTGAATAAATGAAGATGAATTCACATGGGTGATTCGTCATATCATCTGGGTTAAACTGACATCTTATGTAATTACTATTTTTGACAGTTTCCATAAGTAATTACACTCTGTAAACGTCCCCATGAGAATGGATTCTGCATTCAGAATTCTAGGCGAGTTCATAAAGATTTATTGTTGTTCTATGATTGTCACCTGACTTTTGAAACAATGTCAGACTTTTGAAACCAAGTCAGTGTTCTCCGTGTATTCATGGGCTCAACTCTAATTGAAAGTCCATGATGTATTTAAAGACCCAGCTGCATGGCTATTGGCTAGGCTCAGCAGCTACTGCTCAAAGACAAAATGCATGTAAAATTACATTTTGCTGTACCTCTCATATTTTTTTTGTACTTCCAGGTAATATTCTTACATGGGCTCGGCGACACAGGGTAAGTTAGCTTTCTAATGGTACATGTACGAAAAATAATTATTTTGAAAGTTTAAAAGAACATTGTTGTTTTATTATTTAATATTTTTTTGGGACTAATAAAGTAGAGTAAAATGCTGATCATAGATTTACTATATCGATTATGAAATTCTCAATCATAAATATTTGTTTGATATTGTTTTTCAGACATGGTTGGCTTGAGGCATTTACCCAGATAGCAAAGCCGCATATCAAATACATTTGTCCAAATGCGTAAGTTTATTACCTGAATCTGGCTATTATTTGACAATGCTAGCAATTTGCAATATAGTATTTAATTATTAATATTGATTACTAGTGGTATTCAATTCAAATGTACATCTGTATTTATGATTTACTGTAATCCTTAAAATAACCCACAGGGCAAACAACAAAAGGAAAATATATATCATTTAATTATCAGGACAGAGTTGTATTTTATGAAGACATTATTTACTATAGGGAATTCAGAACAATTCAACAGAATAAGTGAATTAAATAAAGATGAGTAGAAATGTCCCATGTCATATCATATTATTAATTAGACATTAAGGCTCTAATCTTACTTTTCTATTAAAATTGGCTTTTCTAAAGAATTAGAACTAGATATGGATGTTTTGACAGGATGTCGGTTGCTAAGGAACATATTGGTTACAGTTTATTGTAATTTTTAACCACTCTCTGACAAACATTGTATTTTAACAATTTACATGTACAAGTAGCTAAATTGTGAAGAATTTGCTGACTTTATAATAAAGACAGTTGTTGGTTAATATTACATAGAAAACCTGTGAAAAAGACACGAGCTGAATGCAACTAACTTGTCTTTATGAAACAATCTTATAAGATGGAAAGCTTCATTCAAAGCTGCTGTCATCATTTTTTTATGATCAAACATTTTTATCTTTGCAAATGTCATTTTCTGAACTGATAATCTATTCATAATATTGAAATAGAAAACGATCAATTATTTGGTTTTGCTTCAATGTTCATTTTCTTCACTTGCTTGGGATGATTATCTCAGTGTCTCAACCTATAATATGTTCTGCCATATATTTCAATTGGAGTATGTCCCAAAGGTGCTATAGAGCACCATTGGTATGTAGTCAGAACATGCTTATAAATTGCTACATCAATTTCTAGGTACAGTAAAACCTGTATATCCAAACACTTCTTTAATCCCTCAATGTGAACACATTTTTGGCCCCATAGACTTCCATTAAAATACTTCAAAATGTTGACACCTGCATATCTCATGGCATTTAAATGAGGCAGTTTTACTGTATGCTCTTTGCATCCATTGCACGATGGGAGACAAAAGGCAGAAATCTTAACACAGCTGGTAAATATTTTACCGTCGCAAAGTGTAAAAATCCGATTGACTGCCTCTGTTATGGCAAAAAAGAACAATTCTATTAAAAACTGCTTCATAAACAATACAATATGAATAAGCCTCATTGGGAAAGTGATAATTGGAAAGATAACAAATTCTGACATTGTTTCTCATCAAATTGGTTTTATTTGGTACATCTTGACATATGTAAATGTCTCAGTATGAGTTGCTTGTTTTGAATTGGTTCAAGCGTGAGATCAATATTGATTAGATGACTCGAGGGAGTATATTGGTCAACCATGAATAGTTTATAGAATCATGTTCATGTTAATGCATAAATCTGAATATAGATCAGGATTTGGTAATTTCCAATGAGCTTAAACAAGACTATGAATTTCTTTCCCTTTTACCTCACAGTAGAGATTGTTATTATTATGTCACCACCAAAAAGCGGTGACATATTGTTATGGTCTTTGATTTTTGTGTTGGTGGTTGGTGATCGGTGGGTGGTTGGCGATTGGCAGGTGGCAGTTTGCGTCTGTAAAAAAGTTTTCAGAAGTTCAAATCTGACTTAACATTTAAGATTTGGCCTTCAATGATCTATCCAAGGTCAAACAAGTTAAAAACAGTCAAAAGGTCTTTTTTCAACTTATGTCAAATTGACCAATTTTTTTTTCAAAATCGTCGACAAGTTATCAGAAGTTCGAATCTGAGTTCAAATCTGACTTTAAATTTTAGATTTGACCTTCAATGAGCTTCTCAAGGTGAAAAAAGGTCAAAAAGTCATTTTTTCAACTTGCTTCAAATTGATCAATCATTCAAAATCATCTACAAGTTCTCAGAAATTAAAATCTGACTTAAGATTGAACTAATAATATTGTGAGCAACTAGGTGACATTTTGTAATGTTAACGCCTTGTCTTTTTGTCCGACTATCCAACTGTCCAACACTGTTGCATTGATTTGCATCAACATTTTTCGGCAAACTCAAGTTTATTGGATAGGTATAATAATATATCATTTCAGCAAGAATTTCAAAATGGCTGCTTTTATTTCTATGAGAGCTAAGTACCAAAGAGGTAAATAATTCCACAGTGCCACATAAAATTATTAGGTCTCAAAAGCTTACAAGAGGAAGAGATAATGCCTCAGTCACATTTGTGCTGGCTGCAATTATGGCTGACTTCCTGGTATACTGGGTGCCGGGGATTTTTTCTGATACAAATACTGTAATATCAATTTTATTCATATCTATTGAAGCATTATTTTACCTGTTGGTGGCGAATGTCTTTGAAACTCTAATTCTGACTTAAATGTTTGCTAAAAACTGTTAGTTAAGACATTGAAAATTCACTTTTCAGTTATACAGGTGTTTTTATGTCCCCACCACATAGTGTGGGGCCATATTGTCGGCCTAGGCGCGTCCGTCTGTCCGTCTGTCTGTCCGTCCGTCTGTCTGTCCGTCTGTCTGTCCGTACGTCCGGGAGTTTTCTCCAAAACCGCTGCAGATATCACCTTCAAATTTTCAGGGATAATTTATGAGTGCATACAGATGTGGATGAAAAAAAATTAACTCGATACCTACTTCCTGTCGGCCATTTTGAAGTCAAATGCTAAAATCCTTGTCTGCAAACTTTAAGAAAAACGGCTTCACAGTTGCTTTTAAAACTTTAACATCTTGTTCAGCTCACTTCATTCTAGATCTGATTAGGTTTTGGACCTGTTAGCTCAGTCATGTCAGCCATTTTGAATGTTTTAAGAAAAGTTAGCGCACGATAATACTTTCTATCATATTGAATGGTGTTTTTCAGTTTTCATGCTTTAACTTTTTAGTAGCTTTATAAATAATTTCAGGTGTACTTTGTTGTAAAAGCTTATGTTATTGTTAACAGTAGGTATATGTGATAATTTTGTAAAAAGATTTCAGCAAAAACTCATAATCACTTTTTTATTGTCGGCCATTTTGGATTTTTCCGTCCTAAAATCTTGTCTGTAAAGTCTTGTCTACGCGTTTTCAGGTGAACCGTTTGGTAGATCAATTTCAAATTTTCAGGGATGATTCTTAGTATGAGAATCTAGATCTGATTAGTTTTTGGGCATTCTGGGTAAATGTCAAGGCAGCCATTTTGGATTTTCCGTCCTAAAATCTTGTCTGTAAAGTCTTGTCTACGCATTTTCAGGTGAACCGTTTGGTAGATCAATTTCAAATTTTCAGGGATGATTCTCAGTATGAAAATCTAGATCTGATAATTTTTAGGGCATTCTGGATAAATGTCAAGGCAGCCATTTTGGATTTTCCGTCTTAAAATCTTGCCCGTAAAGTCTTGTCTACGCGTTTTTAGGTGAACCGTTTGGTAGATCAATTTCAAATTTTCAGGGATGATTCTTAGTATGAAAATCTAGAACTGATTAGTTTTTGGGCATTCTGGGTAAATGTCAAGGCAGCCATTTTGGATTTTCTGTCCTAAAATCTTGTCTGTAAAGTCTTGTCTACACATTTCCAGGTGAACTGTTTGGTACATCAATTTTAAATTTTCAGGGATGATTCTTAGTATGAAAATCTAGAACAGATTAGTTTTTGGCATTCTGGATAAATGTCAAGGCAGCCATTTTGGATTTTCTGTCCTCAAATCTTGTCTGTAACGTCTTGTTTACATGTTTTCTGGTTAACTGTGTGAGGGATCAATTTCAAATTTTCAGGGGTGATTCTTAGTATGAAAATCTAGAACTGACTAATTTTTTGTCATTCTTGGTAAATTTTAAGATGGCCATTTTGTGTCGGTAAAGTCTTGTGTACTCATTTTTAGGATAATCATTTGACAGGATTACCCATAGGTGGGGACATATTGTACACATTTGTGTTCTTGTGATACACATGTTTTACTGTTCACATATTTGTTTCATCCTAGATTAGTAACATTATATTTATACTAATGCATGAAACAGTATTTTGAGAAGATACAAAAGCACTTACTGAAGATTTATATCTTTAGCTGTTGTAATACTTGTACCTAATTCAGTATTTATTTGATAGAAGAAGCATCTTAATGTTAAAGGGGCAAGTAGACATAGGAAGACGCAATCAGGGTACCATTTGATATTTTCATAGTAGAGGATAGGTGCTGTTGTTTTTGACACCTTACTCAATGTGCTAATGGAAATGAGAAAAACAGTTTTTTTTTATTAAAAGCAAGAGTAAAGCAAGAGTCTTCTCTATAAAGCCTGTTGTAAAAGTATAAGTAAGCACTTCAGAAATACTTGTTAGTACATGATTATTATATAACTGTTATGCCCCTCTGCTAAGTGGCTTTAAGATGATTTGTAACAGATCATAAGCACACTGATCAATGAGCAAATTGGTCAATGGTAACCTTAAGCCTGCAAATTAGAGATCATATGAGAAAATATCCCAGGGTAGATATCATTATATTTAGAAGGATGTTTTTTCATTATAGCCATAATTGATTTGCAAATAGCATGATGGCAAGAGGTCTTAATTCCTTGAAGTATTGCCTCAGGGATATCGTGACTGTGTAATGTTTTATTGAGAGTTGTCGACAAATTGCTGGATATACTGCCAATTTATATTTCCATCATCATGTCATAGCATTAATTTTGCAGCATATAGAAGATAAAAAGGCTTAGGTCTTATATCTTAGTCATACGTGTGAACAGGACGATATTTTTAGACGGAAAGGCAATTTACTCTAACAGATAGGACCTGACAAAAATTGGGTGAATGAATTTCAGGAAATACTTCTATTAACTAACCAATGTGTTCCAAATATTAAAATATCTTAGATCCATGACATCAAATGGTTAAGTTTTGAAATATTGAAGCTTGGAAATGTTTGCCTGACGAAAGACTAGAACTTTTCCATCTCAGATGAGGGTTATTAAGGATGAGGTTACAGCTATTGACCCTTTACAATTTTGAAGTGACAGTTTACACCCCAAAATTTTAACTTTAGAAAATGTCCAGATTATTATGCTAGAAAATGCTTTTACTGCTTCATTTTTGATATGATTGATCCTTTTGTAATCGTAGACAATGTAAGAAATTATGCTCCAAAGTTTGAGGAAATCTGTTATACTGTGTCAATAAAAGAGAAATTATAAAGAGATTTCCGAGTGTAAATTGCTCTTCAAGTTCATTGTTCTAGCATCAACTCTAACATCATCATATCTATGGTTAACTGTTGACTTAATAGTTTTTAACTTTTCTGTTAATTACCCCCTAATTTACAATAATTTCATGGCTTCCGACCATTAGATGACTTGTATTAATACTGCAATGTAAGAACAATTTTGGTTTCTTTTTGAAGGTTTGGAGTGTTGTTTGGAATGCTAAGCTCATTAACAATAACAGCAGGCACTGCATATAATGGGAAGTTTCCAATATCTAATATGCTGTTTAAATTCAAAATGCTTGTATCTCGTATGAAGATTTTGTGTTATTAGTTTATGGTATTTCTCAAATATGGTAAATAATAGCTGGTCCCAAATTAGACAGGTGTTACTGTAGTTTGTGTGGTTATTAATGATACATTATGGGCTGAAGAACATGAACTTGTCCTTGCAGCATACGTATCTACCATTTAGTAATATATTTTAAACCCTATATACAATTAAAGTGCTTTTTCTTTCAGGCCAACCATGCCAGTCTCCCTGAATGGTGGGTTTGAAATGCCATCTTGGTGAGTAAGCCTTTTAGCATATATCTTTATCGTTACTTTCGCTCATCCATCTTCAAGTAAAAGCCCAGTCATTAAGTCATTGGACACCAGTTATGAATGTAAGACTCATCTCTTTGTTTTCAATTTAACATCAAAACAGCATTAAAAAGAACATTTCTCTTTGAATTAACAACTAAGAATTATTTATTACCTTTTTTCTTCCATAATTATCAATTTCTCTATTGTTATTATTATCTTGATGATGATGTCCTTTGTCCTCTTGATTATCAGTTAAGTATTATTAAGTTTGATTTATTTTTTGTGTTTTGTCTAAAAGGTTTGATATCAAGGGTCTTGACCCCAAATCTCCTGAGGATGAAGATGGAATAAAGAAGGCAGCTAAATCTTGTGAGTTTTTAGCAAAACTGTTATACTTAAAGTTTACATTTGTCCATTATGCTATTACGTAATAAAAGAACACCTGCTAGCCTATTTATTCACTAACAATATAATATTCCTTCACCTCACCCACATTCTATATTCTTGTGACTTAATCAGATTTATTGGACAAGAATGTCATGCCAAATTCCTACATTGGTTATAAATTAATAATTGTGTCACTCAAAATCAACAGTTCCGTATCAACTATATTTTCATAGCCAATTGATTCATGAAACTAGATAATTTATAACACAGCTATCAACAGTTCCGTATCAACTATACTTTCATAGCCAATTGATTCATGAAACTAGATAATTTATAACACAGCTATCAACAGTTCCGTGTCAACTATACTTTCATAGCCAATTGATTCATGAAACTAGATAATTTATAACACAGCTATCAACAGTTCTGTATCAACTATACTTTCATAGCCAATTGATTCATGAAACTAGATAATTTATAACACAGCTATCAACAGATCCGTATCAACTATATTTTCATAGCCAATTGATTCATAAAACTAGATAATTTATAATACAGCTATCAACAGTTCCGTATCAACTATACTTTCATAGCCAATTGATTCATGAAACCAGATAATTTATAACACAGCTATCAACAGTTCCGTATCAACTATATTTTCATAGCCAAATGATTCATAAAACTAGATAATTTATAACACAGCTATCAACAGTTCCGTATCAACTATACTTTCATAGCCAATTGATTCATGAAACCAGATAATTTATAACACAGCTATCAACAGTTCCGTATCAACTATACTTTCATAGCCAATTGATTCATGAAACTAGATAATTTATAACACAGCTATCAACAGTTCAGTATCAACTATACTTTCATAGCCAATTGATTCATGAAACTAAATAATTTATAACAGCTATCAACAGTTCTGTATCAACTATACTTTCATAGCCAATTGATTCATGAAACTAGATAATTTATAACACAGCTATCAACAGTTCCGTATCAACTATACTTTCATAGCCAATTGATTCATGAAACCATATAATTTATAACACAGCTATCAACAGTTCCGTATCAACTATATTTTCATAGCCAAATGATTCATAAAACTAGATAATTTATAACACAGCTATCAACAGTTCCGTATCAACTATACTTTCATAGCCAATTGATTCATGAAACCAGATAATTTATAACACAGCTATCAACAGTTCCGTATCAACTATACTTTCATAGCCAATTGATTCATGAAACTAGATAATTTATAACACAGCTATCAACAGTTCAGTATCAACTATACTTTCATAGCCAATTGATTCATGAAACCAAATAATTTATAACACAGCTATCAACAGTTTCGTATCAACTATACTTTCATAGCCAATTGATTCATGAAACTAGATAATTTATAACACAGCTATCAACAGTTCCGTATCAACTATACTTTCATAGCCAATTGATTCATGAAACCATATAATTTATAACACAGCTATCAACAGTTCCGTATCAACTATATTTTCATAGCCAAATGATTCATAAAACTAGATAATTTATAACACAGCTATCAACAGTTCCGTATCAACTATACTTTCATAGCCAATTGATTCATGAAACCAGATAATTTATAACACAGCTATCAACAGTTCCGTATCAACTATACTTTCATAGCCAATTGATTCATGAAACCAGATAATTTATAACACAGCTATCAACAGAGAGAATGAGACTGATGACCCTCCGCAATTGCTTGACTCGGCTTCTTAAAAGGATGTCTCTATATATGGGCATTTTCTCTGAAGTCATCGTTTAACCAGTGTTATAACCAACATTAACATAATTAAGCATGTTTCTTTCTTCTCACCAATTTAATGTATAGAGAGAAAACACTGCCAAGATGATAGCTTGCATCTCTACATCTAGTAATAATGAAAAAGTAACAATCACAAATTGTGGTTAGCATGTACTAAATTGTATAAAAAGCTTTCAAAAATATCACCTGCTTATTGTAAGCTTAGACAACTTACTAATGGGGAACATTTGTTATTTTTTATGGTTCGTTACAATCTTATAAATTACATTCCATGCACTAACAATATCGATAAAGCTTGTAATTTTCAGGTTTTACGAACTGATATCTGGAAATTGTCCAGGCCAAATTATTGATCCTTAGCGATGAAATAAAATGTCTAGGGCAAAGGGTAAGCTAGATAAAAAGCAGCAGTTTGTCTAAAAATAGACAGGCATTCTATTGTTTTCCTATAATATATTCCTTATAGAACAGAACAGTCAATTCTCTCTCTCTCTGTTTCAAAATAACAATGACCTTGCTCTGGTGAGAATGACTATAATGGCCTTCTTGAGGAGCATAACATTAAGAGTTGACATGTAGAGATGATTTCTATATGGGTGCAGGCTATATAAATTTCCATGTTGTTTTGCTAAAGTACAGTTTAGTAAGTAACAATTACCAGGGTAAAACAATGATATTCATTTCACCTTTATTGTTGACGAGACACTCAACAATCTTGAGTCAATAGTAACTAAAATCAGTGTTGCGAGATAATTTTTTTGATATACAACTAGAATATTATGCCAGTAAATATTAATATCCAAGAGAATATTTGCATAAAAATACTAAAAATACATATCTTTTGGAAATGCTGAATAATTTGATTAAAAATGATTGTTTCATTGTTCAAATATTGTATTTTGTTTATTTCGGAAATGCTCAAATTCTTTTTGAAGCCATTTTCCCATTTTTGTATAGTATTCTAGTATTTATCTACACTGATATGCATCAAAACCAGTACTAATACTTCATTGGACACTATTTCATTATACTCAAACATGAACAAATCTATTGAAGTATAGACCAGGGGCCTGTTTCATAAGTTCAGGGATTAAACATGTTTCATAAATTCATGCATTAAAGCATTTGGCCTATTTGTAGAAACTATCGTAAATTCTGATTACTGTAACATAATTACATTAGGAAAGTCAATTACATGATAATTGTAATCTACAAATCCATATATGTCTCCCAGAATCAAGTCTTTGGAACTGCAAAGATGTACAACCCAACCACCCAGCTACTCTTGGTATATGGGTTCCTTAAATTGTGCTCCAATTCCTGTACAGGACACCATGAGCAACAATACAATAACAAAAAATAAAATAATTAGCACCCATAGATATATAGAATGTTTCATATGTATGCAACTTCCTGCTCAAACTTATATATGCAGATGTCTTAGACATAAGTACTACATACAGCTTAAGGTTTGGGTAAAAAGGCATTGGGCTCGGGGTCTACAGGGTGTTCAAAAATTGTTTGGGTAAAAAAGGCGTGGTGTTTAGGTTAAAATGTGATTTAGTAGTGTAGCATTCATTCATTCCCAAGTGAGGAAATTGGAGTGCAATGAGACATAATTGGAGATGTGAAAACCAAACAATTTTTGTGATATATCGGCTGTCGTTGTCAAAAGCTTGCAAAAATGAGCATTAGCGAGATTTCAAAGCTATATGGAAACTCCTCTATTGATAAATGTCACTCAGTACATATATGAGGCCACAAATAGAAATTGATGTTTAAACTTGTTTTTGTGCAAATAAATCTATAATACAGGCAGAGATATAATATTACATGTTATTAAATTATTATCTACTAGTATTTATTAGGAGGCCCCATCGGGGGGCCTCCTATCAATTTTGTAGATATTATTATTCTTTATTATTATTCTTTATTATTTAGACTCCAGATGAAATCTGGAGTCTATTGTTTTCGCCATTTTTCTTTATTATTATTAGACTCCAGATTGAAAATCTGGAGTCTATTGCTTTTGCCAGTTTTCTTATTAGACTCCAGATTGAAAATCTGGAGTCTATTGTTTTTGCCAGTATTCTTTTTATTATTATTATTATTATTATTATTATTCTTTGGGAGTTTTTTCAATAACTATTAGGTATCCAGTAAGGACCATAATACAGTTCATTTAGGTTCAGTATCTAGTTGGTGGGAAATTGGGTCAAATTTTTATCTAGGTCAAAGGTCAAGAACTAGGTCAAATCCAGTACTTTGTCACTTTTTTAGATTTTCTCGGTTGTCCTTCAATATTTTCGATCCGGTTTTTTTTCATTGTGTTCCTTATAAAAAAGTAGGAAACCTAGGGTCGATTTAGTTTTTTGATATCTCAAACCGATTTCGAGATATCAGTGTCCGAAAACGAGGTCCAAAAAAAAGTTCTCCGAATCAAATGTCCAGGATATTAGTCTTATAGGAAATTTTCTCAGGATTCCGAATCTGAAAACGAAATTTAGATCAGACTTCCGGTTCTGAAGTTATGGCGTTTTGAAAGCTCCAAAATCGCTAAATTTTGAGCCCATGTTAAGTCAATGGGAAAAAAGATTTTTTTGAAATGAAAAATACGAAATATAAACTAAGTTCAGCTAAATATGATGAAAGCTTTTAAAAGAATGGGACCTCAAAAGCCATCTAGCTTTAAAATTTGGACACCAAAATGCCTAGGTCAAAATCTAGGTCAAATTCAAAGTTTTTTCTTATTTTTGCGATTCTGACACTACACTTTAATTATATTCTTCGAAATTGTGTATACATGTAGCCAAGAGTGTGCTTATAGCGTTAGCCTTTTGCCGTCAGAAAGAATTTTGACCCACTTTTGAGATATGGTGTCCGAAAAGTAGGTCAAAATAAAAAGTTCTCCAAATTTAACGTTTGAGTTATGAATTAAGAATAGAATTTTCTCAGAAATCCGAATCTGCAAACCAAATTTCGATCCGACTTCCGGTTCCGAAGTTATGGCGTGTCCAAAAAGTAGGTCAAAATAAAAATTCGCCAAATTTAATGTATGAGTTATGAATTAGGGGTAGAATTTTGTCAGGAATCAGAATCTGCAAATCAAATTTAGATCCGACTTCCGGTTCGGAAAATATGGCGTTTTGAAATTTCGGAAAATCGATCT